CTCTTTCTGAATAACTAAATGGTCAAAAACTGATTTGAAAAATTTAGACACCTCAACACGAAAAACATTCACACAATACAGAAGACATCATCCGAAATAGTCAAGATGGTAAAACGCTAACCTAAATTTGTGTGATCATCTCTACCAACAACAAGTTGATGACGTCACCTCAAAATTTTGCATGGCGAAAACTATTTAAATTTTATAAAATAACATACTTTTGTATTTCAGGCTTATGAATCCTTGATTGTTTACCCAGAGGACCCAGACTTTCGCAAAAAAAATCCAAATTGTGTAATCACATCGTATAATAGTGTAAGAGGAATGCAGACTAATAGCCGATTACCTCAGTTATTGAAGTGTCGTCTTAATAACGGGTTTACTAAGTATTTTTTCTCCGGGTTACTTCTACTTCGCGAACCTAAGCTAAGGAAGTAATGTAATCGAGTCCATCGGGCGACTGGTTACATTTTTGTTTCGCGACTTTGCATGACCCCTAGTTTATGTCTTGATATTCATAGTTTCGTACTTTATTCCATTGTCCAGTATCCCACTTTGTACTGCTTCGTTTGCCTCCTTGCTTTTGTCATTCCTTCGTCTAATAGGACTGCTCCAAATAGTAGTGATTCACTTCTTTTGTAGTTTCAAAATATTCTGATTTTTCATGTTTTATATTGATGTAACTTCTTGTTTTCCTTCGATTGTTGTTTCGTCTAGTTCCTCTTCTCTACAGCATTTCCATATACCGTCTCTATTTGACCTGCCGAAGGATTTTTTTCATGTCTATAAAACATAGACTTCCCCGGCCTCCCTTAGGGCCTTTTCGTTTATCCATCTTATTATAAAGATGGCATCTACTACCCTCTGTTTGGCCCAGAACCAAATTGTCAGTCTTCTAGGACTTCTTTTAAGGTTTTTCTCAGATTTTTTCCATTGTTCTGGTGTACAATTTTCTGTTGTGCTGACCAAAATTGAAATTTTCGCACTCTTTCGTTCCTCCTTTTTTGTGATTTGGCGCTATTATTCCTACTTTTCAATAGTCCTGATATTAAAACTTTATTTATTATTGTGACTAACTTTTTTGCTACTTGTTCTTCCCCTGCTTTTATCGTTTATTTGGTCATGTTATCCGTTCCTGAAGTATTGTCTCTTTTCATCTCGCAGACTACTTCTGTGACTCCTTTTTCGGTTATTTCTTTGTCTTGTCACTGCTCTTAATTTTCTGTCCCCTATAATTGGGTTCATCTTTATTTTTTCTTCTTTTCTTTCCAGTAGACCTGTGAAATATCGTCCCCATCTTTTCATAATCTCCTCTTTTCCCGTTGATTCAAGTTTTCATTAAAAACTCTTGGACACATCAATCTTATTTTTAAAAATGACACATTTTGATTTAAATTTAAATTGTCTATCTTTTCACAGACGTTCTTCCATTTAAAGTACCTCTTTTCCAGCGTCGAACTACAGATTTGAATTCTTTTTGAGCCCTCTTAAAAATCTCCCAAGAATTGGGTGAATTGTCAAGTTGGACCCTATTCTAGAACTTCCTTGCAGTCTGTCTCTACCCACTGAAGTGAGGGTTGCGTGTTGGGCAATTCTCCTTTTAAAACTCGACTATTTGACAGCCCCAAGACGTTTTTCGTGAGAACTTTAAGAGTCCCCGTTCCCACTGTCCATTCTTTTCAATGCGATGATCCGATGAATTCAACTATCTCGTTTCCACGGTTCAGAATACCCAAACCAATTGTAGCAAGGTAATTCAGAAGAGTATTTCCTCTGGAACTGAACACACTGTGGGAACGAGAGGTCATTCTTTAACCTCGTTAAAGTCTATTACCACCATCAGTTCAGCTGAAGGTGGTAGCATAGGGATCATAACACAGATAGACTGAGCACTATTCTCGGCATGCCATCGTTTATGATATTTACATTCGATAGAACCAGTAATAACTGATCCTTTCTGTAAACATAGGTTCCCTACCGGCCCCAGAACACCAGAGTTAGTGAAGGAGCCCAATGTCCACACTCCAGATGTCGTCCTGCCTGCCGAAGCAGGCCTATCTACCCAGCAGTTTTGTAGTTCCTGATTAAATCAATAAAATAAATTTGCGCATTCATTAAATTTTTTGAGTCATCCTGTATATCCGAATCCAAAAAATATGAATGGAATGATAAATTACAAGAAGAGACTCATCATATTTTGTAAACTTTAAATAGGATTATACAGCAAACTTTTGAGCTGACGTCATCCATTTTTTGGAGGGGATAAGCAAATATATTTTGACTAAAAATTTATTATGCTCTTTATAACCTTAAAACATTTGCAAGATTTCAAAGCATTGGGTTCTGTAGTTACTGATTAAATCAATAAAATAAATTTACGCATTCATTAATTTCTGGGGTCATCCTGTATATGCAAATCCGAAAAACATGAATGGAATTATAAATCACAAGAAGAGACTCATCATATTTTATACAATTTAGATAGGATTTATTCAGCAAAATTTTGAGGTGACGTCATCAATTTTTTAGAGGGGATAAGAAAATGTATTGTGATTAAAACGGTCTTGGTTTAATAACAAAAAAATATTGTTCGTCTATAAAACAAGCTCGTCTTAGACAAAGTATTCGTAAAAAAATATGTCGTAAAAAAATTTACGTATGCTGGTTCCGACTGCGATTATGGTTTAAATATTTTTTAGAAAATCCTGTCATGGATGTAGAAACATTTCTGACAGCCAAAGAGGTTTTTTTGAGAAAATTCTGTTTGAATTTAGACCAAACTGAAATAGACACTGGCAACAGGCATATTTGGGCAAAAGAAAGAGAAATTAGGGTTGCGGCTTCAAATTTTGGACGTATTTACAAACTTAGACCGACTACAGCAATAGCTAAAACTGTGGAGTCTCTGTTGTACAGTACATTTAGAGGTAACAGTCATACATACTATGGACAGCAAAGTGAGGAAAAAGCTGTCAAGTGTTTTGAAATAAATAAAAATATAAAAACTGAACGGTGTGGCTTGTTTATTTCGAAACAATTTCCTTACTTGGCCAGACAGGGTTCTAGAGGATAGGAGTGTATTAGTCGAAATTAAATGCCCTTCAAAATCGCAAGATTTGTCTCCCGAAGAAGCGGTTAGAAAAAAAAATCAAAGTTTGTACATTGACAGACAGAGAATTGAAACTAAAAAATGAATCATGATTACTACTTTCAAGTCCAGGGACAAATGCTTGTTACAGGTATTTCACAAGTTTATTTTGTTGTATGGACACCCAAAGGAATAAATATAAAAAAAATTTATAAAGACGAAGAAATATATGTAAAAAGATGGCAGATAAACTTGGCAGATTTTGCTTTGGCGCTTTATTGCCCGAAATAATTGATTCAAGAAGAAAGAGGAACCTGCCTTTGCGAGAGATTTTTTTAAAATTAAGAAAATTTGTTTCTATTTTTTTATGTACTTTAATAATTTATTAGGAGTACATTTTTCATCACCAAGACTTGCATATTTTTATTATAAATATATTTTGAAAATGATCTCTCGGCAAATGAAAACATATACGAGCACTTTTTTCGAGTAAACAATGAAGGGAGAAATTACTGGGCGTAGGGCTTTTTTAAAACACCTCCTTTCTGGGATAAGTAGCAGAAACACTTAGCTACTTATACGTGTTAAACAAAAGCTGTATTTTATTTAAAATTAAGACCCACCACTGACCCGGAAATGACCGGCATTCAGGCAAGACTTCTATCATTACGGGTACTAAGACTAAGTAATGATATTTTTTATTATTATTATAAATATGTTTATTAGTTTTATTAATTAAGAAAGCAAAATATATACATATTAACAACAATACAATGAATTTTTAGTAATCATGTGTATTGAATTCAGGATCCTGAGTGGAGTAAAAATATTATAGTTCCCCAGTTTTAATTCGGTTTTATGATAGTTCCTCATTGCGTAAAAGTTAATTTCCTTAACAATAGATTACTACTGCCGGTCCTTGCGGCTTGTTATAAAACTGAGTTCCTTGCCATAAATTAGAAGAATCAGCCGAGAACTCTAACAATCAGCTTATGGTAAAGCAGGCGATAAGGGTTTTACCTGGAAAGTGGCTTCCGTAAATTTTAGTGGCGCTCCTATCGGCAAAGTACTGAACTAACTGCTCAAATTCTGTCGAATTGATACCCATTTTTTTCAATAATTGTTAGTTTTTGTTAAAAACTCTGCTAACCAATAGATCATTAATTTTCCTCTGATATTCCTGTTAAAATTATTCGACGTATTTTGCATTAATTTGTGGTATATTTTGATTTTAATAAACACATAATTATTTAAACAAATTATACCACTAACAAACAATTAATGACCCTGCGCCCTGTAAAAAGTGATGTTTTATCCATGTGCGAATTTTCAAGCGATTCTATGATGGATATGACTCGAAAAACTTGAAAAGAAAACATACAATGGTGCTTTTTTTACGATATTTCTCAGCCATATTTTTTTAGTTGATTGAACTGGTCTCTGCGCTCTAGAATATGAAAAAAGCTGCAGTTTGATGTATGATACATCTATATTAATATCATTTTTTCATACAAAAAATCAAAAAAATGTTATACCTCGTCTAGCGAGTCCCCTTAAGGTTGTGAGCTAAGAAATAAATCGAAGTTTGTTCAGACCTGCTCACACAGTAAACCAAATCAGTAAAACACGAAACCTTGTCAAATACAGTACAAAATTGATAAATTTTAGATGAAACAAATTACTCAAATATTTTTTAAAACTGACGAAAAGGAAAAATACTGTATTTTTTTATTATTAAAGTACCGGATGATTTTTTAAATTTATAAAGAGCAAAAATTGTTGTCACTTTTGATAAAGTAATGCAGACTTTAGCTCGCAAACAAAGCTCTAACAGAAGCCCTTTGATTACAAATGACTCAGCATTAAACAAAATTTATTACGCGAAATGTACCTATGCTTTGAAAAGTAATACTTTAACAATTATCTTTGTTTAATTAAAGCCAAGTTAGGACAAAATTTGGACTATAAATGACAAAACTTTACAAGCTCTTGATGAGATATGGTTCGGTGCAGAACTGCAACTCCAATCCAATAAATAACACGCTTTTTTTACTTTCTTTTATTAAATGCAAATCCACTAATCTTCCACCTTCGGCATAACAATCCGCGTAGCCGGAGGGTCAGGCAAGCCGAAACTTCTGGCCCAGAACCGATCAATAGTGTGGTACAAATGGGGGTACACGCCGCCTAAACTATGATTCTCGTCTGGATAGCTCTGGAATTTATTAAAATGCAATGGCATAACGGCCGATGAAAAATTTACGCACTTGTTGCTGGAACTGTATATCCGCTTCCTCCAAAGCTTTCGATAACAGCATGGACTGCTGGTAGTGGACGTTATCGTCGGCATTACCATGAATTAAGAAAAACAATTTACCCCGCATCGCCTCCACGTTCCGCGTGACGTCCGTGTTATTATAGCCGCCCGAATTTTCGTCCGGCAGTCCCATATACCGTTCGGTATAAATGGAATCTGAAAAGAATTATATTTCTTTTTACGCCAAAATAGACGCCTGTTCTTACCGTAATAAATAAAGCTGGTTACCGGGGCCACCGATAAACCAAATTTAAAAACGTTTTCTGTGTCCTGGACTAGAACCCAAGCGGTGGCAAAACCGCCATAACTCCAGCCCCAGATTCCGGTGTTATTAGCATCGATGTAGGGCAAGTTTTCTTGTAGCCATCTGAAATTACGCGCGTTATTAAAATCAGACAAAGGTGGAGATTTACTTCATAGCTAGGATCTGATCTTGGATTTCAGCTGTTGCCAACTTCCTGTACACTTGGAAGGTTTTATTTTGCCCATCGATTCCACTTCCTCTGCCGTCGATGTACACGTAGATGTACTCTCGATTTGTCACTATGTAGTTCTGGAAACCAGAGGAATACGCGTCGTTGATTTGGTTGTAATTGGGTCCTCCATAGCTAAAACGTTAACTTAATAGTTGTTTTTTTTAGTTTTATACCCGTTATTACACGTTAACTACTGCAGGATATTTTTTGGAGTCGTTCTCGTCGAGCCCTGGAGGGAGAAGCAAGCGAACGTTGGCTTCGAAACCGTCACCGACAGGCACTCTTAAATCTTTGATGACAGGTATTGCCTTTGGGGCAAGCAAGTCAACCAAACGCTGGTTGTTTTCCCACGTCAAAATGTCAGTGTCCTTCGTTGAAAAGCCAAAATTGAATAAAAATGCAGAATAAGACCTTTCATAATAGAAAATGCAATTGAAAAAGAACTTACATCTTGTGTGCTTTGAATCTCAACAAGATAGGGTCCAGGTCCTTGGCAAATTTTAGTAACGTAGCTAAGATCTTTACTGAAAGAAGCTGAAGCATAGGTACAAGGTCCTCTTGAAGTAGTCATGTCACAAGTCAAACATTTGGATTCTTGAGAGTCAATATGAATTACGTAAACATAACGCTGGTATGGTGCATTATCACCACTCCGAAGGAAGTAACTAAAATTCATATATCACTATTAAAGTACTACTTTTTACATTACCAACATGAGATTATTCTCTTCGTCCCAGCCATATATACTTAAAACATAAAACGGTCCTTCTGTCAATCTTGTAACATTATTTGTTTCTATCTCCGTAAACACTATATGATCAAATTTATCGTTTCCTTGAGCTTGTGCCAAAATTTCAATCTTTTGAGTACCGTCCTTATTGTACTTAGGGAGATGTGGTTCCAACCAACCATTTTCCTCCTGGTACGTAGCTTCCGGCTCTGCGTTACATTCGGCGTGTTTGTTACACCTGAGAAGTTCAGCTTGATTTTGAACCCGATTTGAATAAAGAATTGCCATCTCCTCGTCAGTAATCCACACGATATCATACAGAACATAATCCAGATCTTGTGTCCATTTTTCAGGAATCGCTTTTATTTCATTCGGTACCTGCACTTCTTCACCAGTTTCTAAACTAGCGACGTATATTTTCACAACAGGATTGGTAGTACCCACTTTCGGATATCTTATAGTCACGTTTTTAGGGTACTGATCGTTCATGTCTCCAGGAGTACCATAAATGAAATACGTAAACTCTTCGACGTTGGTGTCATCAAACGAAGCGAACGCCAGTTGTTGACCATTTGGCGAAAACCAAAGTGCCGAACCCGTCCCCAGAACCTCCTCTAAAAATCTTGGTTATTTTGTGAAGTACGAAAGTACGAATTTACCCTCGTAAACCCAATCCGGGACACCGTTATATAAGACTCCGGGCTTTCCGTCAATAGTTAAGGCTCTGGGTTCACCCGCTGGGTCCTCCAGGTAATATAAATTGTTTAAATAGACGTAGACAAGCCCATGGCCTTGAGGTGCCCACTGGGCATACTGGGATTGGTTTTTGCCGGCTACATCGTAATACTCACTGAAATCAGTTACAAAATACTACCGAAAAAATTGACTTGAAGCTAAATTACTTGTTTTCGATGTCGTAGATGGCGTAAAGAGCAGTTGTCGAGTGTCGAAATACCTATTAGGTTATCGATTACGATTATTTAAATAATAGTGTCCAATAAATACTTACAGCTTGAACGTTATATCTAATCAGGATATAAAGTCGATCTGCTGATACACCAGTCGAAGCACCTGGATAGTCTGACTAATAAAATGGTACTTATATCGATGTTGAACTACAGGTAGTACTTACCAAAACATCTCTGAGAAGAAATTTGTCGGAGCTTCTATCGCTCGCGTTAAAAAGAGAAATATCACCTGCTAAATCTCGGTACAGGAAGGAGTCTCCTACAAGAAAAGTTATAGACACTTACGTTTAATTTTTGAAAATTAACCAGTGAGCCACGATCCGTTAAAGCTTCTTGTTGAGAACGTCCCTAATAAATATTCATTCAACTCAAAAGGTTCTCCTTGGTCATTTTTTGCCAACGATTTTCCTTCTGTCGTCAGAAACAGAAAACAATAAACCAACACAGCCTGTAAGTCATAAATTAGTAACAAACCACACAACATTGAAGCAAAACCGCGGTGACTACTCACAAAGCAAAACATGTTTTGTGGTGGTTCCACAGTACTACTTCAGATACAATGGTACTCACCTTACAAAGACCCATCGCGGAATGAATTAGCGTGAACAATATTTTAAACTTACACCTTCAGAATATGTTATTACTTATCTTATCGCTGCACGTTAACAAATTTAACTACAATAATATTTAATCTCATTTAAGCTGGCGGAACAATTAAAAATTGATAACTAAGGTGCTAATTGATGACAGTTGCCCCAAAAAATCGTGGCCTTGTCAGATGCGATTTTATTGTTTTTTATTTTTGTCAAGTTTATTAACTTTTTACACACTCGTAACGCACACAAGTTAGCTAAACAAACCGTATGAATGAAATGCTAAAACTTTCACTAAACATTTAACAATAATTTTTAAATTGGGGACAAACACTGGAGTCTTTTAGATCGTTTACACAAACACTGCATGGTTCTTAGTCAAGACATTGACATAGAGAACTGTTCCAATAAAGTCATTTTTACAACAAAGTGATTGTAGATTGACACAAATACTACGTTTTAATCAGTGACTGCGGTAATTTGTGTTAATTCCGATAAGTTCTTGTGATATAAATGTCGATGATGTGTACAAATTGAGCATTTCTGGTAATACGTCTTCACCATAAAAATGCATATCTTTTCCACGAATGGCATAAATATCTTCAATATTTAATATACAATATTTGCATCTACATTTTATTTTTCAAATTATTGTGATTCACTTCGTACAAAAGTTAAAAATCCCAGATTCATCATCACCAACAATCTATGCAAATAAATTAAGTAAACAGCGTTTAATTCTGAGGTAATCCTGACGTAACCCACATTATTTTGATGGTTTTTACTAAAGCATCTATTGACAAATATGTTAGTAACCTTAACGAGACGTGGTTCGAATGTGAACTTTGCCCTTTCCCAAAAAAAAAACTATTATTAATTTCATTTACAATCTAAATCGGATTTTTTCGATTCATTGTATGTGGGAATTCATCATACTCTTTATTCATTTATCTTACGTCTGTGCACGCGTTGAGAGCAGACACCTGTTCTCTAAATTAATGAGAAGGTCATGTCGAATACTTACCCAAGCACAGACAGAAGTGCAAAGTATGCTGGGAATTTGCGTATGAAAATAACTTTAAGCGTAAAATTAGACAACATAACGATGGCAGTTGTGGGACACTTGGTGGTTGTAATAAATGTTTTCTATCTCGAGAGATCGGTTTCGCAATTTGATACTAACGGGATTAGTGCCGATACTTCGAGGGTCTCAAAAGGGCGACAGTAATTTTTCTTAGTCCTACAACGTAAGCGTTTGGAGAGTATCAGATGCTGTCTTCGGTTGGAGAATTAATTACCGATGGTTTGGAGGTTGGATGTGGTTGACGGAAAGTCAAAAACCGATAAATGATATAAATATTTAATGTTATGCATATTAACTGGCTTTTTGCGGTGTTTACTTGTTTTTTGTAACCGCAAATATCGCTTAAAGGCGGCGTCTACAAGGAGTAGATTTTTTAAAGGAAAAACCATATTAAATTAATAATAATAATTATAATAATAGTAAAAAAAACAGCACAGTTTATTGTATGTGTAGAGAATGTAAAATCCGGAATCGATTCTAAATCAATGCAGCTGAATTATGGTATAATTATAATACAAAAATGATTTAGAAAATTGTTGTTATTTATACTCAAATTAATTAATTTTACTGCAATTAATCGCGCAAAACAACGCCTGCATAATGACACTCATACAATTGTTCATTAATTTTTTGAAAAAAGTTGCATCCTTGAGAAAAAATATTCACGCTAATTAAAGACAACATTGTTTTAATTGCATTGAAAAATATTCATTTGTTAGAATTTTTCACTGTTGATGTAATATGAATGCAAATTGTTAATATCATTTAGGATTTCAACAGTGTACATTTTAAAGTGTAAATGAATAATATCATCTTTGAGAATATTAATCTACAACGAATAGGAAAATTGTATTCTTAAAAATATGTCATCGATTTTCTAATAACACCCTGTGTTTTTAGTACAAATACTTAGTCTATAATCATATGACTTTGAAAACAGAGCCTTTCTCTTCCCTGAAGCGGAACAAATACCGTGTGAATGTTAAAGAATATTTTTTGTTGCATTTCCGGAAGCGGCCACTGACCCTTTTGGGTATCTTTACCTGTTTCTGTAAATAGCTCTGTAATTTTAGTACTTCTGTAACCGTCCTACATTAAACATCAAAACCGAACGCTGTCCATTATTTCAATTATAACAAACAAAGGTCCTTCGAGCAACATCAAGGTACAATTCGGAAGACCATACATGGTCGTATCAACCGGATTACAAAAAACGTTGGTACTAAGATTCGGATTGTACGAAACATTGGCACTTCAAGCCGGAACATTGGTCTTCGAGCCGAAACATTGGTCTTCGAGCCGAAACATTGGTCCTTCGAGCCGGATCATTTTTCATAAGATTTATTTAGTAATAATTTTCGTAGGTATCTTAAGAACAAAGGCAAAATATAAGCCCCGCCCATCCACCCTATCTAAATTTTGATGATTTTTTTAGTAAGCAGAGGGCGGAGCTTAAATGCAAAATCCTTATTTTTATACGAAGAATTATCATATGAAACATATTCTTAAGTAATGGTGTGACTAAATAAATTTGTTGTATTAAATACAATTTTTTCAAAAAAAACCCACTCGATACACACTACACAGTTAAAAACAAAGGTGGATTATTAAAGCAAGGATCCTAGATTGTATACTTTAAGAGTGCTTTACTTATTTTGAAATGTCGCTGTTAATATTTTTTTAAGATCACAATCTTAGATAAATTTTTACTAGTGTTTTAGTTATCTTCACAATAATCTTGAAAACCACTTACAATAATTTCAAAGTATAATTGATTAGATATTTAATAAATTACCAACAGATGAACGATAGATAGACAATACTCGAAAGAACAAGGAAACTTGCAATTTCGCATTCCTCCCATTGTAACACTTATCCACCGCTTTGGGAATTTGACAAAACTACTTAATTTTTTAGAGTTTTCGAGCAAGCTTTGTTTTGACGATAATTTTATGAATATTTGGTTCTTACTTTAGTAGTTATATGATGGGGGTTCTAGGCCATTCTTGTAGGGAATTAACATGCAAAATCGTAAACATTTCAGGGAACTTCAGAACATTTTGGAGGTGCGTTTTCTGTCTGACTGCGTCCATCAAAACGTTTTGAGGGGTGAGTTTTCCGGCTTTTCAGCTCGAGTTAGGGGGTGAGTTTTCGGTCATTTGACGCAAATTGTCGCATTTTTCTTTAGGGGTGACTTCTAGTTTACTTCGGTCTATAAGGATGTTTTAGTGATGAGTTTTCCCGTCACTTCGGACTTGGTGGATCCATCAGAACTTTTTACGGGTGAGTTTAATGGCGAGCGTAAGCTAAGGAAGTATTGTAACTCATAGGGCAATTGACTACTTTAAAGTTTAAGTTAAGCCTTTTAAAATTAAAAAAAAAACGGGATTTGTTGGACGGTACTTCAGGTGCGAGGGAAGTTCTGCTCGGCTTTTTTATGATGGTGACTAGTGTTTCAGGATTTTTTTGTGGTCCTCTCCCTCCTCTAATCCTGACGGGCATACCAATAAAACGTGCGCAGTTGTAAATTATTTGTTACCTATCTCTCATATACGTAATCCGTCCGAGCAGATATAGTGTATTAAATATTTTATTAACCAAAGCTCCAGCTTCATTGTTAGATGCTCTCCCGGTGCAGGTGCAGTTTACTACTGATAATAACAATTCTGCATCCTCAAATTTTCGGGAAAATACGATAAACCGCACTTGATTTGATCAATAAAATAAGTTTCTACGTTCATTAATTTTCTTGAGTGCATAAGCAATTCTAAATTAAAAGTAAGGTCCTCAGAATTCACGAACTTTCTATAACAAATTCTCAATAGATTTGAAAAAAAATCGGTTCATTAGTTTCAGAGATTGTCTGTCTAATAAATATTGAGACAGACGACAGACAGGCGGAAACAAGAGACCCCTTTTTTCATATCTTAGGGATCATGAAACGTCGAAAAAACATGAAATAATCGTCGCTGGATGATTTGTGAGAATTTAAGGGAATGTGAGAGAATCTGAGAGACTCCGAAAGAATTTGGAAGAATTTGAGGGAGTTTGTAAGAATCTAAGAAAATCTCGAAGAATCTAGAGATCTAAAGAAATTTAGAAAAATCTGGAAAAACCTGGAAGAATTTGGAAGAGTCTGCAGGGACCTGAAAGGATTTGTAAGGATCTCAAACAATCTGAACAGGACTGAAAAATTTTAAAGAATCTTCAGGATTTCAATTCGAAAGAAAAAGTCGTAAAAAATTAAAGAATTTGAAAGAACCTGGAGCAATTTGCGGGAATCTGGAAAAATCTGAACGAGTTTGTAGGAATCTGAAGCAATGTGATGAAAGGTGAAAAATTCTTGAGAATTTGAAACAATCGAAAAAAATCTGAAAGAATCTGAAAGACTTTGAGAGCATATAAGAGAGTGTGAGGAAATGGAGAGAATATGAGGGAATCTAAGAGAATCTGAAGGAATCTGGGGGAATCCGAGAGAATCTGGCAGAATCTGTGAGAAATTGGAAGATTCCAAAAGAATCTGAAAGAATCTGAGCGATTTTTAAGGAATTTTTAGAAATCTAAGAAATTCTAAGAAAAAACGAGATGAATTTGGAAGAATTTTGAAGAATCTGCAGAGATCTGTAAGAATCTGAAACAATCTGAATAGAAATGAAAAATTTGAAACAACCTTAAGGATTCCCGGCGGTGTCTTTGAAAGAATCTAAAAAAATTGGAAAGAACCTGAAACAATCGAAAGCATCGAAAAGCATCCGGAATAATCCGAAAGACTAAAAAAAATCTAATGAATCTGAAAACATCTGAAAGTATCTGAACCAATTTGAGGGAATCTGAGAGAATTTGAGAGAAATTGGGATATTCGGAAAGAATCTAAAGGAATTTGAGAGAATCTGAAAGAATCTGAGGGAATATGAAATAAATCGATAGATTCGGAAACAATCTGAGATATTCGAAAAGAATTTGAAGGAATCTGAGGGAACTTGTGAAAATCTAGAAGAATCTAAAAAAAACTGGAAGAATCTAAACAGTCTGCAGAGATCTGAAAGGATCTAAAGCGATCTGGAAAAATTTGACAGAATCTGAAAAATTTTGAAGAAATTTGAGGAAATCTTGATATATTTTCTGGCATAGAAAAATTACATATTTTGAACGTGCTTAATGTTTCTAAAATTTCATTTTTTCCGAAAAATCTGGAAGAATCTGGAAGAATTTGGAAGAATTTACAGCGATCTGAAAGGATTTGTAAGGATCTCAAACAATCTGAACAGAACTGAAAAATTTTAAAGAATCTGAAGGAATCCAAGAGAATCTGAAGGAATCTGAGGGAATATGAGACAAACTGCGAGAATCTGAGAGAAATTGGAAGATTCGAAAAGAATCTGAAGAAATTTGAGGAAACTTGTGAGAGTCTGAGGGAATTTTGAGGAATTTCGAAGAATTTAGAAAAATCTAAGGGAATCTAAGCAAAAACTGGAAGAATTTGGAAAAATCTGCAGTGATTGAAAGGACCTGTAAGAATCTGAAACGATCTGAATAGAAATGAAAAATTTGAAAGAATCTTGAGGATTCCTGACGGTGTCTTTGAAAGAATCTGAAAAAAATTGGAAAGAACCTAAAACAATCCGGAAGCATCGAAAAGCATCTGGAATGAGAATAATCCGAAAGAAGAAAAAAATCGAAAGAATGTGAAGGAATTTGAGGGAATCTGAGAGAATTTGAGAGAAATTGGGATATTCAGAAAGAATCTAAAGGAATTTGAGAGAATCTGAAAGAATCTGAGGAAATATGAAAGAAATCGAGAGAATCTGAAAGAATCTGAGGGAATATGAAAGAAATCGAGAGATTCGGAAAAAAATTGAAGGAATCTAAGAGAACTTATAAAAATCTAGTAGAATCTAAAAAAACTCAAAGAATCTGGAAAAGTCTGCAGGACTCTGAAATGATCTAAAGCGATCTGGAAAAATTTGACAGATTTGTAAGGAACTGAAAATTTTTGAAGAAATCTGAGAAAATCTTGATATATTATCTGGCATAGAAAAATTACACATTTTTGACGTGCTGAATGTGTCTAAAATTTTATTTTTTCCGAAAAATCTCGAAGAATCTGGAAGAATTTGGAAGGGTCTGTAGGGATCTGAAAGGATTTGTAAGGATCTAAAACAATCTGAACAGAATCGAAAAATTTTAAAGAATCCTCAGGCTTTCGATTCAAAAGGAAGAGTAATAAATAAAATGACAGAATTTGAAACAATCTGGAGGAATTTGAGAGAATCTGAAAGAATCTAAAAGACTCTGAGAGAATATAAGAGAATGCGAGCAAATGGAGAGAATCTGAGGGAATCTGGGAGAATTTGCGAGAATCTGAGTGAAACTGGAAGATTCGAAAATAATCTGAAGGAATCTGAAAGAATTTGAGGGAACTTGTGAGAATCCTTGCGAATTTTGAGGAATTTCGAACAGTTTAGAAAAATTTTAGAGAATCTAAAAAAATAAGGAAGAATTTGAAAGAATTTTGAAGAATTTGCAGGGATCTGAAAGGGGCTGCAAGAATCTAAAACGATCTGAATAGAACTGAAAAATTTTATAGAATCTTAAGGATTCCTGACGGTGTCTTTGAAAGAATCTGAAAAAATTGATTGGAAACAATCTTAAACAATCCGGAAGCATCGAAAATAAATCGGAATAATCCGAAAGAATAAAAAAAAATCGAAAAAATCTTAAGGAATTCGAGGGAATCTGAGAGAATTTGAGAGAAATTGAGATATACGGAAAGAATCTAAAGGAATCTAAAAAAATCTGAAAAAATCTGAGGGAATATGAAAGAAATCGAGAGATTCGGAAAGAATCTGAGAGCTTCGGAAAAAATTTGAAGAAATCTGAGGGATCTTGTGAAAATCTAAAAAAAATCTAAAAATACTGGAAGAATCTGGAACAGTTTGCACGGATCTGAAAGGATCTAAAGCGATATAGAAAAATTTGACAGGATCCGAAACGATTTGTAAGGATCTGAAAATTTTTGAGGAAATCTAAGGAAATCTTGATATATCTTCTGGCATAAAAAAAATTACACATTTTTGACGTTCTTAACGTTTCTAAAATTTAATTTTTTTTAGAAAAATGTGGAAAAATTTGGAAGAGTCTGAGGGATCTTATGAAAGGATTTGTAAGGATCTCAAACAATCTGAGCAGAACTGAAAAATTTTAAAGAATCTTTAGGATTTCAATTCAAAAGGAAGACTCCTAAAGAAAATGAAAGAATTTGAAAAAATCTGTAACGAATTTGAAGGAATCTGGAAAAATCTTAAGGAGTTTGCCGGAATCTGAAGCGATGTGAGAATGGTGAAAAATTCTTGAGATTTATTTGAGAGAATCGGAAAAAATCTGAAAAACTCTGAAAGAATATAAGAGAATGCGAGAAAATCGAGAGAATCTGAGGGAATCTGGGTGAATCTGCGAGAATCTGAAAGAAATTGGAAGATTCGAAAAGAATCTGAAGGAATCTGAAAGAATCTGAGGGAACTTGTGAGAATCCTAGTGAATTTTGAGGAATTTCGAAGAATTTAGAAAAATTTTAGAGAATCTAAGAAAAAACTGGAAGAATTTAGAAGAATTTTCAAGAATCTGCAGGGATCTGAAAGTATCTGTAAGAATGTGAAACGATCTGAATAGAACTGAAAAATTTGAAAGAATTTTAAGAATTCCTGACGGTGTCTTTGAAATAAGAATCTGAAAAAATTGGAAAGAATCTGAAACAATCCTGAAGGATCGTAAAATATCGCAAATAATCCCACAAAATCGAAAGAATCTGAAAACATCTGAAAGAATCTGGGGGAATTTGAGGGAATCTGAGAGAATTTGAGAAAAACTGGGATATTCGGAAAAAATTTAAAAGAATTTGAGACAATCTGAAAGAATCTGAGGGAATATGAGAGAAATTAGGAAATTCGGAAAGCATTTGAAGGCATCTAAGGGAACTTGTGAGAATCTAGAAGAATATCTAAGAAAACTGAAACAGTCTACAGGTATCTGAAAGGATCAAAAACGATTTGGAAAAATTTGACAGGATCTGAAAAATTTTGAGAAAATCTGAGGGAATCTTGACAGATTATCTGGGATAAAAAAATTACACATTTTACAACTTTGTGTTAAGCCCGTATAAAATTTCAGATGTCATTCAAAAAATCATAAGTTAACATATACACATTTCATCTTCACTTTGAGAAAAATATTATCTTCTCACTGGTTTAAAACTGGTGTCAAAATTAAACACTGTGGACGTCATGCTGCCAGTAATTCAGAATTGCCAACCCAAAAATTTGATTCAATCATTAATGGGTCACCCGGTATTATACATCTTTGACTCCAACTATTTTTAATTCAACGTACAGAAAATAAAGGTAAAAAATTGGTGTTGCTACTTGCAATTAATTAACAATTACTTTGAATTAACGACAAAACATCTATTTCAAAAAATAATTCTAACAATTTAAACCATTAAAAAAATAGTTCTTTGGATCTCGCTGTATTTATTTAACAGTTTATTCCGTAACACAATGGTTATGAAACTTCAACATTAAAAACTAATATTGTGTCCAAAGTCTCAACCAAAAAACCTACAAAATCGTTTTAAAACAATTACGAAAATAAACAACATTTAGATAAAACCGGAGCATGCTGATTACTTCCTCATTTTGTGAATGATAAAAAAATGGGGTCTGCACCAAGAACAAACAACAATGAAAGATAAAAATCGATGTCATGTATGTATATCTTATGGAAGAAATGTGGCAAATATTAGTTCCGGTGGTCAACGGCACGACAAGTAGTCAGAAAAGGAATTATCTTTCATGCACAAAATCACAAACACAAAATAGGTAGGTAATACGAAATAGGTATTCATTCAGATGTCACACTAAATGGGATTTTAATGTGTAGGTATCTGATTAACCAGAAAACGTATCTGTATACATTAAGTACATTACTCATTTTATTAGAATGGAAATACTTTGAGAAGAACACGCCAACAAAACTGTATTGGTCGTAGCGTCAGCAAGTCAGCAACATTCGTTATACTTTTTTGTGATTCCTGTGTTTAAACTCCACTGGTCACAACTTAAATATAATATTATCATAACTCAGTTCGTTCTTCTCATAATATTTCCACTCTACATCAGGACAAATAAAAAATAGTGATAATTTGGTTATTAACACCATGACTTTGACTCAGCTTGCACAATGTCCTTCATTTATCTAAAAAAAAAAAAGTAAAGTAATAATTCAGGAACAGGAATTCTCAAAAAAATAAAACAAAAATCGGACATTTTTCAAGTCCAATATTTCCAGTTATAGATTTCTGTAAAGGATAACAGCTTTGTAACGTAGAGGACGCCACATAAGCACTCGTTTTCGTAAGTTATCAAGTTTCCTTCTACATTGTTGATTGTTGACATATTGGTTATTCAAACGTCAAAACAAGTTAAGCCCATTATACACTAGCTGTCCATAACACATAATACATAAAGTGTAACATTTACAACATAAGCTATCAAGTAAGTAATAATATAAAGCTCCTTATACAATAACAGTGTATCACTCATAAGATTCTAACTCAAATCGGAAACAAGTGAGGTTAGCAACAAAACGTGCCCGGTCATTCGGCTACAATTTTGATACCTCTACGCATACGCCTTACGTGCTACGTCCCGTTATCGTGTAACAAGCTTTAAGTAACCAACCACCAGAAACAAGTAGTAACGATGAAAAAAATTATTAAACAAGAACTTAATAATTGCAGGTTTACACTAAAAAGACAACTCTGATGATAAAATGAGCGACCAATCAACCATAAAACTAACCGTGTCTGAATACATACAGCGTTTAAGCAAAGAATTAAGTAAGTAATTTGGAAGTAACCTCAATTTTTGTTAAAAGCTTAAGACGATATTTAAATTTTTTCGGACATGCAGAAGTTGTTATTGGTTTCTAACATAATGCGTCATTGATTGATTGCAGATATTGAAGGAACCAAAGGACTTTTTGGCAATGAACTCGAACTAATTGCGTTAGTTCGAAATTGTCAATTTTTGTACAATAAAACCCTTCCAGACTTTAAAAATATACAGAAGAAGAACGAAGCATGGGAAGCAATAGCTTCGGTGTTTGGTGTTTCAGGTAAGTAAGTATACACATGTCTTGGAGGTTAACGCTTAGGGTAAATTTTCAGTCGGTGAAGTGCAGCAACGATGGAAGGGTATGAGGGATTTATTTAGTAAACATAAAAATAAAACTGAGGGAAATGGACCCGTCAACAAAAGCGTTGTTTGTCCGTACTATGATGATATGAAATTTCTTGAACCTTATATTGTTGGAAGACGAACGAGGTTAGAATTAATTTTTAAAAAATTTGGGTTGTAATAGTTTGTTTTAGACTAGTGGGAGTAACTTCAACCATATCTGACCAACTAAATAGTGACGAGGACTCTATTAAAGAGAAAGGTTTGTTTAATTACCTTTTTTTTTTTTTGTTTTAAGTAAAGTATTGTAGAACTGTCTCCATCATTTGATGATTTAAAACAATTTATCATGCGCATTAAAAGCACGCCACTTTTGTACCACCATAAGTATTCAGGAGGGTCTTTTGGCAAACAGAAAATAGATGCTTGGTTAGAAATAGCAAACACTTTTGGAGTACCTGGTATGTTCAAAAATATACATATACAACAATTTAAAATATTTATTCACGATTTTAGTAAAAGAATGTTTAGCGAGGTGGAGGACCCTTCGAGAGCGATATTCTAGAGAAAGAAGAACACAAAAATCCGGTGTATCTGTCAAAAAATGGGAACTATACGATGAGTTGTCATTTTTAGACCAGCATGTGAAAGCCAGAAGGTTTGACCCTTTCATATTTAAAAATATTTTAACAGATATATATTTCTAGAAGGTACACAAGAATGGTTCCCACCAACCCTTCTTCCGCAGAGCAGAGTGTATGCTACGTCATCACGTCTCCCAACTCATCCTCACTTGCACTAGACTCCTCTAGTTTTTTAAGTGAAATGTCGTCCACCAAAAAAGAGGTTCCGATTGAAGACGTGGAGTTCTTTGACGTTTCCAGTGATATAACTTCGTCGCCAGCTCCTCTATTCAATGAAGAAAATAATTTGTCTGAAATCAGCATTTCAGAGAACGCAACCAACGGACAAAGCGAAAGCGCACAAAGTAGAATAATTCCAGACGAAGACGATCTATTTGGACAAAGCATTGCAGCAGAACTTAAAAAATTACCGTGTCCTCGGAAAAAAATTAAACTAAAAGCTGAAATTTATAGACTTCTTTATGAGCACACCTGTGAATAATTTCAGTTTATACCGTGATTTGTTGTGTAAATATAATGTTTGTAAAAGATCGTCATTTTAATCCCCTTTTTATAGAATCATTTTCGCGTGTTTTATTATCATAAATAACAGTAATTGTACATTTTACATTGTTTTCCATTGATCAATCTACCATAAATACTACAACGTAATTTTTGGCCATACAATTCTAATACTTTCAGTCAAATACTGACAAGGGTAAACTTAATCACTACCAGGGTTAGCTCTCCTCCATCCCTTTAAAAGTATGAGTTTTGGTATGCCTATTGAGATCATTAGCCCTTGAGTATTTTTTATCACATATATTACAAGTAAATGGTTTCTCCCCAGTGTGAGTCAACAAATGCTCCTTAAGGTCTGCATTCGTCACGAACGATTTATCACAAGAATTACAAGAAAAGTTTTTTTCGCCGTTGTGCCGCTTCATGTGTACCGCTAAACAACTAGACTGCGCGAAACCTTTGCCGCACACCGAGCATACGTATGGACGTTCGCCTGTATGTGACCTTCTGTGCACGATCAACGTGCTTGATCCATTAAAACCTGAAAAACGGATTTATTTAGGTTATATTTATTTTGTAGAATGAAGTTTTACCTTTATGGCAAATATCACAAATATGAGACTTCTCTCCAGTGTGCGTTCTCATGTGTTTTGTCAGTTCGTTGGATTGGCAGAACGCTTTTTGACAGACGCAACACACGTATGGACGTTCTCCGGTGTGGGTACGGATGTGGGCTATTAAATTTGAACTAGTGGAAAATGCGCGCGTGCACAGGTTGCACTTGTGGGGTCTTTCACCTAAAAATAAACAAAAAATGGAGTTTTATTTGTGTTGTATCTAAGTAAAAAAAAAAGGAAAAATAAATTTTTCATCTATGGGTCACATTTATTATCTAAAAGGTCTTTGAGATGGAACAGAATCAGAAAAACGAACTGAACACAAATTATGAAAAGATTTAAGGTTATGATTCATTTCAGTTCACTGAATTAATTTTATGTTTCAGTTTGTTTCCATTTTTAAACTTATAATATATTTAGGATTTTTTTTAAACTGAATTTAAACAGATGATGGATTTTTTATTTTGAAATAAATTGTACTGTCAAAATCTACAGATGAAAATGTTAAAACTCTTAAAACACACTATTATAAATTTAGATGTCAGAAGTTCATGGTCAGGTCGTCTGATGGTTTATTATGTTGGCAAAATTGAAGTAATTGGCACTACAATTCGCAAAAAAGGAACAAAAATTATTACTAAAATAAAAAAATGTGTCAACTCCTTATTACATATATGATACGTAAATTCTTTTTTAAATTTCAACAAACATTACAAGAAATAATGATGTTAGAGAATGATTTTGCGGTATTATGAAATTATATTTTTTACTTCCCGAGCATAAGCCAAGAAGTATTGCAAAACGATCTATCGGGCGACTGGCTACTTTCAAGTTTTCTGGACGTTTTATGACCCCAAGAGTACGGAAAAATAGGTCCCCGTTTCCGTCAGTCTGTTTTTATCAAGCACACAATTTTCGAAACTACGGACCGATTGTTGTCAAATTTTAAGAATCACACATCCCCACCAACCAAATTTAGTGATGTCTCCTCAATTTTTTTCGTAAACCCCACTTAAATTCTCATATACTTGTATCTTATGAATCCACCTTGATTTTTTACCCTAGCCATCAAAATTGTCACAAAAAGTACAGAGATTGTTGGACAAGTCAACGACCTATTGACAAAAAGTAGTGCCGTTTCTGGCTCAGGTCAAATCAGGGCAAACAACGAGCCAAAAACTGCACTACCATTGCAATTGTCAATCATAAGATATGGAAAAAGGATGTACTATTCCGGACACAAAATTTCAAACGATCAGCTTCTGTCATTTTAAAAACCATCATTGTAAATCACCCTTTATTGTCATTCTGACACACGTTAAGTTTGAAAGCAACGCTCGGCGGGCGTAAATCCAAGAAGAGGATCCTCACTCGTGTGTTCATGATTGCAAAGTATCAATGTTTTTATCCAATTTCATAAAAAGAACTCTTGTAATTTGTGCAAAATCACTGGGAAATTAACAAAGCAGCAAAATGTTACTTCATTGTTTTTACCTGACACTCCTGACAGCCTTCAAATAAAAAATAAGGTTAGGTGTTCGTAAAGCCACATTTACAATTTAATGTCAATGTAATATGAAGTCGTTTGAAATATTTTGTGCGGGATAGTACAGTTTCGGCCACAAAATCTTGGGCAGTTCTGTCATTCCAATGACATAAGCTCTAAAGCCCGCTTTACGTACTTATAACCTCAAATTTGCCATGTTTGTCATTTTGACGTAGACTGGAATGTGGATGCTGACGGATGTCAAAATTTATTTTTAAAAGTGTCAATCATTATGACAATAAAGCATAGACTACATCGTGTTTTTTTTTAAATGACTGAAAAATACTGCTCCAGACTTTCTGGCCGAAACTGTACCATATGGTCGAAAAAAAGAACATAAACGAATGAAATATTGTTAAAAAATTATGTTGCTAATATTATTTTTAAAATAAATTTTATACCCCACTGTAATAGACCCAAATTCCAAAAATATCAAATATGTCTGAGATTGCTACTATCATAGCATATGTCAAGCAGAAAGATTTTACTCACAAAGGACAATTAATTTTCTTCTACAGAATATTTTGAATAAATAATTTACTCAAATGTCAAATATTGAAAGAATGGAAGGAGAATTAAGTGGGATTTATAAACTTGCTGTTAACGTTGAAGTTCCCGTTGCAGTTGCTGTTACCGCTAACGTTGCTTTTAGAGCTGAAAATTGTTACTTATAAACCCCGTTGTCAAGTTGCCGTTGATAGTAACTTTGATGTTCAACTTTTGCCGTATTTAACGGGGTTGTAGAAGAAAAGTGGAGGATTTAAGTTGATTATTACAAAAATTTACCATTTTAGACATGTTTTAAGTTTCTTGTTGCCGAAATTAAGTCTACACATACTAAGAAAAAAAGGCAAAATGTAGTCTCGCCCACCCGCCCTATCTCAATTGCGATGATTTTTTCATTATTCGTCGTGAGCCAAGAAGGCGGAGCTTAACTGCAAAATCCTTATTTCTCTATGAGAAATTAAAAACAAGTACGTATATAAAAAAAAAATAAAGTCAAAGATTAGGCCCCACCCATAACCACCCCGATCTCAATTCTCAATTGTGATAAATTTTTCATTCGTTGTCAGATCGAGGGGCGGGGCTTAATTACAAGATCCATATTTGTCTACAAGAATTTACCATTTTAAACATATTGTTATGAAAAGATGGCTATGTGTATTAAGAAAAAAAGGCAAAATATAAGCCCCGCCCACCCGCCCTATCTCGATTGTGATGATTTTTTTTAATCGCAGAGATTTTTTTTTAGAATTTAAATGCAAAATTCTTAATATTTCTGTATAAGAAACTACCCTGTAAGACAATTGTTCGAGTATCGTGTTATTCAAAGAATATTATGTATATTAAGAAAAAATTAAAGCCAAAGATTAAGCCCCACCCATACCTGCCCTGATCTAAACAGTAATGAAGTTTTTTCTTAATATACAAAGTAGTCTTTGAACAACACGATACACAAAAACATGTTTTTGATTTCTTGTCAAGAAATAAGTATGTTCCAGTTAAGCTCCGCCCTCTTACTACATGGCGATTAAAAAAATCATCACAACTTAGACAGGGCGGGTGGGAGGGGCTTACATTTTGCCTTTTAGTTTTAATATGTGTGGACTTCTTTTCACAACACGAGTCTTAAAACATGTTTAAAATGGAAAATTTGTATAAGGAAATATCAATTTTGCAATTAGGCTCCGCCCCATAATTACAAAATCCATATTTACTTGCATTTTAACAATGTTTTAAGTTTCTTCTTGTGAAAAGATGGTTATGTATAAGGAAAAAAAGTGAAAATATGAGAACAAAATTGAAAAACTTTCCCCAGACAATTAATATGATGAATAGGTCCAAGCATTTGTTTTTGACACATCATGTATAATAAATTCCAATAAATAAAATAGTAAACTAAATTTAATATTTTCTGTGAAGATATCATAAACTTCCTAAGGCGATAAATACGAAATGACGATTAATATTTGTTATGTTGTCACGTTGGCAACATTAAAATTATGATGGATACCTGATTGTCAATCAGCAGCTACTAATTGGGTGCCATCAATATTAGATGGCACCCAATTAGTAGCTGCCATCGTCTCCACCAATCAACACGTACATTAGGCGTGCTCATGTCAAAATTGACAACTGTGAACTGCCATATTAGCATAGCTGCCAATAATTCAGAATTGCCAACACAAAATGTTGCTTCAATTATTAATAATTGCCCGGTACTATTTTATTCAAAAAATATTAGGCACTGTCATTCTATCATTTATTACAAATCATGTGATTCAAGCTTTACTGTCATTTTGACACTTTTCAAAAATCTATTTTGTCAAACGATGCCTTTGATATTATTAATATGCGACAGATATGACACTGCTGTCAGTAAATTAGGTTATCTAAATAAAGCACATTTTACAAGTTTTGACATTAGTAAATGACAACTGCCCAATATTTTTTGAATAAAACTGTACATAAGTTTTAATACGCACAATGTAAGGTTAAGTGGAATAGCCTATAGCTAGACTTCGCCTATTATTATTTAATAAAGTCCTATTATTATTATTATTATTATTAATGTAACACTAAGTTTGACGTTTCTTCTAGAGATGAATAATTTAATAACATTTATTAATGACGTCACAACTTTCTAGAAGGGAAGAATAAAATAAAAATAAAATGCTCCGAAACCACTACAGTCAGTGTTGGTATCTAACCAAAATTTTTCAGTTCAAAAATCAAGATGGAATCATAAACCACAAGTGCAAGAATATGTTATTTTATAAATTTTAAATAACATCCACTACGGAAACTATTGAGGTGACGTCATCAAATTATTGCTGGGGATGATTTGACAAATTTTCGTTAGCGTTTGACTATATATATGATATTCCTAATGTAAATACAAAATTTAACAACAATCATTCCAGTAATTTCGTAGATGAAAACATGAAAATATCAATTCGCCCGATGGACACTATTACAATACTTCCTTAGCTTATACGTCGCACAAGTAAAAAATTGGTCCAAGATTATTTAGACAAAATTTTTGTCGCCGCAAATACAATCGAACAAATCCAGTTTTTTTTTTTCGAAAAATTATAAAATATGGTTTTGGAAAATTTTATTCAACTTCTAATTGTGATAAAAATCGCAGAGAATTCATAAACCACAAACATAGGAGTATATTATTTACATAAAATTTAGTAACCCTAACTGCCCAATACAATGAGAGAACATCGTCAAATTATTGGTAGGGATGATTAGGCAAATTTTGGTTAATTTTTTATCATCTTCACAATACTCCTAAAATACATATAAAAATTTACGACAATCGGTTCAGTAGTTTCGAAGATTATCTGTCGAATAAAAGTCGACATAGACGACAGACAGACGGAAACGGGGAACCACTTTTTCGTTGTCAAAGGGTCATGAAACGTCGAGAAAACAGTTCTTCCGAAAAATGATAAATTTGATGTTATAAAATATGAAGGTCATAATGTACAAAGTACGCCGTCTAAGGACGTCTAGATTAAAAAATAAAGGTGAATTCATAAACCACAAGTATACAAGTATGTTATTTTATGTAATTTAAATAACATTTACAAGCAAAATTTTGAGATGATGTCAACACGTTGTTGGAGAACATAATCAGACAAATTTTGGTTAGCGTTTTAGTATCTACGCAATATTCCTAAAATTTGCATAACATTTCACAAGTGATTCAGCAGTTTCAGAGATTATGTGTCTGATAAAATTGACACAGACGACAGACGGGAGACTGTTTTTCATACTCTAGGGGTCATGAAAGTAAATTTTAATCTTGTATTATAAAAATATTGAACCTTGAGAATAATTACTCAATTTTCAGCATCCTTAATTATGATTAAGGATGCTGAAAATTGAAATAAGTCTAGTAGAATAATTTTGTTTTAAATTGGTGGAAGGTCACCTTACGGAAATAAATAAAACATTTCGACGTTTTTCTTAAATTTTCTGGCGGTTAAATAAGGCAACAGACATTTAATTTTTGATAAATTAAATATACGTAATAGTAAAATAGGTATTATTGACACAAAATTTTGTTTTATTATATTGTTTTTTTTTTTTTTTAATATACGGATCTATATTTTTTTGTTGCAAAACACGCGTTTTAATGCTTGTGGTTTAACTCGGAAATTTTAGGAATACGCCCCTGCCACGAGATTCTACCAACTACCGACACAGTATCAATTAGGGTCTCTTTACACACCTATTTAATGACGCAATAAAAATACCTGTATGTGTCCTCATGTGTTTCTCCAAGTCCTGCGCCTGCCTACACCCTTTCCCACACACTGTACATGTAAATGGTCTCTCATCTGTATGCATCCTGAGATGAATCTTATAATTTCCACTATGAGAAAAGGCCTTATTACACACTTTACACTTATATGGCATATCAGTTGAATGCGTTTTCATATGCCTACTCAACTTTGTTGAAGTAGAAAAAATCTTATTACAAGTGGGGCACTGTTTATTTGTCTCATTTAATTTACCATCTCTCTTCATCTTCCCGTTTTTCTTAGCCTTCTCTTTCTCATCTTCAGTAATTTGCGGAATTGGCTGCTGCTGCATCATTGGTTGCAGTGGCGGTAACTGTTGTTGATGCTGAATCTGCATTGGTGGCGCTATAACTTGGTTGTGCAAAATATTCGTGGGTTGCATGGTTTGCAGCGGCATCGTGTATGTACCATTGTAAACTTGTACCTGCCCTACACCCTGTAAATTATAACCATTCAATTGTAAATGGTTTTGTGATTGCACGTTGTAGTTGATTTGCGTCAACGCCGGCTGTTGCGCTTGTGACGCCGGTACAAATACAGGGTCAAATTTTTGCTCTTGCTGAATTTCCAGCAACGGTGCACACTCAATGTACACACAGCTGTTTTGAGTAATTGGCTGGTTCATGTCGAGTTCATCTAGTTTATTCATTTGTGGCTGGGGTTGAGGTACTTGCTGGATTTGCTGGTGCTCGACGTGTTGTTGCGGCTGTTGCTGTTGTGGTTGTTGTTGTTGTAAATTTTCCTGTGTCATGCTTGATACATACTGTCGTAGCTTGGCATCCGATTTTTCACACTGTTTTTTGAATTGGAAAGAAATGTGTAGCTTGGCTGAACATTTGTTACATATCTGTGACGGGAGTCCATCGTTCTGCCACACCTAAACTGAATTTGTAACATCGGTTCGTTTATGGGAGAAGTGACGATTGTTTACCTGAACAGAGGCACATGCCATCATCTTCTTTGAAACATTTACTTTGAATATTGACATCATTATACCTTCGTTTAGACATACTCGACATATTTTTGTAAAATCTAATTCCATTATCTAATTATCGGGTCACAAGTATTTCAATGATTATTGTATAAAAAATTAACAATGTTTGTGTTGTTTGCTTATAACCTTACTGATGCTTGTAAACATCATTCGTTGCCAACTTAACGACCACACGATAAAGCAAAACTCACTAAGAATAATAAATCCAGTGACAGTATCAGGGATCTTGACGTTGCGTTACGTAACTTCGGCTAACTGCTTCACAGATGGCGGTCTTAAAATTAAACTAAAAAAGTGCGGAAAATTTAAAAAACTAATGTTTCAAACGTCATTAAAATGTTCTCGTCTTAGTTACCTTTATTGCTAGCTATGTAACTGTGAAATAGTAATTACCAAAATTAAAATTAAAGCTTTAAAATACTTTCACTGCGGAAGTCATTCGAAACGATAATTGAAGTACAGAATTTTGAGAAAAAAAACAGGAAAGAATTTTTACTGCAGTATTCTTCTTACTACGATTCTAATAAGACGTAACGTTCAACCACATTCTGAACTCCCACTCACCATATCTACGATACAAATCTTCATAAACAACGGTTGAATTCCCTGAAAATAATCTGTCAGTTGGTGACCTTCACTGTTCCAAGAACTTTAGACTCTGCACTTAGTGGTCCCTCAGGATCGCAAGATTGTGACATAGCACAATTCCAGTAAAGTTTCTCACAAATAAAAACAAACTGCACAGCGAACTGCCAGAAGCAACATTGAAACTTTCATATTTTTTCTGTGTTTATAAAAGAATATGGGAATATTTATAGCAACACGCTAATTGTCCCGACTCTTTTATTTTTTATTACCCTGTTTTCCACATTTGAAAAAATAATGTGTTAATCGAAACAAAAGTGTGGTTCTGTGTGGCTAATTAAATATGCAGGCTTGCCACAACATCGTAAAATTCTATTATTGTCCGTTTTATAATTTTTCAATTATTTTCAGAAGTAAGAATAATTACAGGTGTCGAGTGTAATACATATGTAGGTAGATAATGTTTCGTGTTTTGCGCGAAAACAAAAAATAATTACAAATTACACTAAACATTTTCACTAGTTTTTTAAACGAGTAAATTTTATTATTTTTCAGTTAATGTATATTTAATCATTGTTGCGATTACGTCATCAGTTTTTGAACGAAATGAATGAGTAAATTTTAATAAAAATGTTCAGTGTGTTTACAAAATTTTAAAATAATTATTCTCTTACATGAAGTGTAAAATTTGGCAGGATTTTGAAACCAAATGTTCTTTTTTTTATGTGGGTGAACAGACAAGGTCCAGTCTAGCTTCAAAGAACACCTAATATTTCAAAATAATAAGTTAGGTAGTTCGGAGATTATCTCTGTAATAAAATCGACAGCAAACGTTATAGAGAGGTTCCAGATTTACGAGAGACGTAGGATACTTGGAATAAAATGTCTTCATGGTCGAAAAACCGCAAGATAAAAATCCAGCATGCGTATCTGACAGTTAACTTATGTAGAAAATGAAAGTTGGGAAAAATTGTGTTCTCTATGGGTTTTGATATACTGACTATTTGGACTATGTTATTATCTTTTCGTAAATTATTTCAATGTGTGTTTGCTATAAAACTGACACAAACGTGGGTCGTATGATCTAAATTTTATGTATCGAGAATTCCTTGTCATTTTTGAGTACCTAATATATATTTATTATTTATTGTAATTCTTTCTGCTATTGTTTGTTTACAACAAAATTATGTCGCCAGCTTTACATTTTTACGCCTCACAAACCGTTAGGTAATTATTACCTTTTTGTTGTGCAGGTTTTTCATTATAGGAAATTTAGGTTCAAGAGCTTTTCAATTTGTGACATTTTAATCTCTCTCGAGACAGACATTCGAAAACGGAAAACCTACATTTCGTACTCTCTCAACTGTAAAATATCAAGGAAATATGAATCAGTGGCGGCTCGTCAGATGAGGCAAGTGAGGCGGCGCCTCACAGCATATATCTTACGAACAGATTGACTTAATTTATAATTAAAAAAGAGCTTTCAATGCATTTTTAGTTACAAAAGTATGTTGAAATGACAAATCTGTACATGATTTTTTATTTTTTACACTTCCTGCTAACATTTTCCGTTGAATACCGTACGATTTATGCCCCTCGTTCTTCAACTGAAGCGGCCAGAACGTCGGTTCACTTGAACCAGCGAAGCCCAATCACAGACACGGATTTCCATGGCTCAGCTCCTATACTCATATACAAGAGTTCGCTCGGAACTGAGGCGATATCTTCGGTGCTTCTCGGCCAATTTCGGCGTACTCATTAAACCATTTTTCCATTTACTTTACAGAACGGAAGGGTTGCGGGGTGCATGGGTAATTAGCATGAACGTGAATAAAAACCCACGTGTTGGTGTTTTGTGTTATTGTCTCTTTCATAGGTACAGCTGAGTGAAAAATGAATCCCGAGTACGACATCGTCATGTTGCTTCTTGAAACGCCGTTTTCACGGAGAACCGAGCTAGGACGTCGGCAAATTTTGCTAAATATCGAGCAGTCAAAATCGTTAATTCATTTAACTGCCATTGATAAGCGACAGAATCGTCAGTACTCCAAGTCTTTTAAATCAACTTGGTACCTACGAAACATATACTTAAATGGCTCTGCCGTAATATTTACATAACATCTCGGGATATAACGATTTAAAGAATTTCATCCGAAGTGCAAAGTTACATGAAAGTTCCAAAGTACACATTAAAAATTTCATGGGCTTAAAACGTTTAGAAAAGAACACAACAACTATTCCCGAATCCCTCCAAGAAAGTGCTACTTTCAACAAAATTTTGACTTGTAAAAACATTGTTAATTCAATGCGTTATGGGTGTTATTATTATTATTATTAGGACCTACTACTGAGCCGGGAATGACCGGTATTCAGGCAAGACTTCTATCATTACTAACTAGTAAGACCAAGTAATATTACTATTATTGTCAAACTTCTATCATCGCCTCACCACATCAGACAGTCACGAGCCGCCACTGATATGAATCACAGAATGCCACTTGCTTTTTTAAATAAATATGAAGTTAAATAGTGCCTCTGGATCTATTATAACAAGTCGCTTGCAGTTCTGTAGACTTTTAATTCTAGTAAATTTAGGTTCATGAGCCCTTCAATCTCGTGGCACTCTGTTTCTGCTTCCAAAACATACATTCAAAAGTGAAAGACCTACTTTTCATATTCTGTGAACCGTAAAATATCAAGAAAATAAAAACTCCGAAAGTGACATTTGCTTCATTATTAGTCGCCTTATAGTTCTATAGGATTTTTATTTTAGTAAATTGAGGTTCAAGTGCTGTTCAATTTTGTGGCACTTTAATTCTATTTCCCGAGACAAACATTCTAATGCGGGAAATCTACATGTCGTATTCTATGAACTGTAAAAACTATAAAATATCAAGAAAATATGAAGTTAGATAGTGTCTCTGGATCTATTATAACAAGTCGTTACAGTTCCGGAGACTTTTGATTATAGGAAATTTAGGTTCATAAGCTCTTCAATCTTGTGGCACTCCGTTTCTGTTTCCAAAAGACTTTCAAAAAAGTAGAAGTGGAATTATAAAAATTATTCAAAAAATCCAAAAAATTTAAAAATCTAAAAACCAAACAATCCAAAAATTCAAAAAAATGCAAAAAATTCAAAGAATCTCAATGATGCAAAAGATCCAAAATATCGAAATGATTCAGAGGATCCTGAAAATCCAGGAAATCCAAAAAATAAAATCCAAATAATCGAAGAAATCCAAAAAATCCGAAAAATCCAAAAAATCGAAGGAATCGAAAAAACTGAAAAATTGAAAAAGAGAAATCGAAAAAGTCTTAAAGTCCAAAAAAATCTGATAAATCCAAAAGATCTAGGAAATCCAGAAATCTATGAAATCCAGAAAACGCAGGCAATCCAAGAAACCAAGAAATCCACGAAATTCAAGAAATCTAAGAAATCGAAAAAGAAAAATAGAGAAAATCAAAAAAATCCAGAAAATCTAGGAAATTCAAAAAAACTCAAGAAATCCTATTATTTAAAAAATCCAGAAAACGGAATATATCCCAAAAATCAGAAAAGAAAAAAGTAAATTATAAAAATTATTCAAAAAATCGAAAAAATTGAAATATCTAAAAACCAAACAATCCAAAAATTCCAAAAAATTCAAAAAATCTAAATGCAAAAAATTCAAAGACTATCAATGATGCAAAAGATCCAAAATAACCAAAATATCGAAATGATTCATTCAGAGGATCCTGAAAATCCAGGAAATCCAAAAAATAAAATCCAAGTAATCGAAGAAATCCAAAAAATCCGAAAAATCCAAGAAATCCAAAAAATCGAAGAAATCGAAAAAACCGAAAAATTGAAAAAGAGAAATCGAAAAAAATCATAAAATCGAAAAAGATCTAATAAATCCAAAAGATCTAGCAAATCCAAAAATCTATAAAATACAGAAAACGCAGGAAATCCAGGAAATCCAAGAAATCCAAGAAACCAAGAAATTCAAGAAATCGAATAAATGCAAAAGATCTAAAATATCTAGAAGATCCAGAAAATCCACAAAATTCAGAAAATCCAGGAGACTCCGAAAATCCATAAAATCTAAAATCCCAAAACGCACTAGAATCCCTTAAAAAACTCGAGAAACTGAATAATCCAAAAAATCGAAAATATCCAAACAGTTTAAGAAATCCAAAATATACAAGAACTTTAAAAATTCAAAAATCTGAAAAATCCAAAAATTCAGAAAATCCAATAAATGCAAGAAACCCAAGAAATTCAGTACTCCAAAAATTCGAGGATATCCAAAAAGTTTAAAAAATTCAAGAAATCCAAGAAACTCAAAAAAACAAGAAATCCTATTATTTCAAAAATCCAGAAAACGGAAAATATTCCAAAAATCAGAAAAGAAAAAAGCAAATTATAACATTTATTCAAAAAATCGAAAAAATTGAAAATTCTAAAAACCAAACAATCCAAAAATTCCAAAAAATGCAAACAATATAAATGGAAAAAATTCAAAGAATCTCAATGATGCAAAGGATCCAAAATATCGAAATGACTTAGAGGATCCTGAAAATCCAGGAAATCCAAAAAATAGAATCCAAGTAATCGACGAAATCCAAAAAATCCGAAAAATCCAAAAAATCCAAAAAATCGAAGGAATCGAAAAAACCGAAAAATTGAAAAAGAGAAATCGAAAAAATCATGTAATCCAAAAAATCTAAAAATCCCAAAACATACTAGAAGCCCTTAAGAAACTCGAAAAACTGAATAATCCAAAAAATCGAAAACAGTTTAACAGATTCAAAATATACAAGAATTTTAAAAATTC